GAAATGATAGTGAGCTTTTTATGCTCCGCATGTTTAGCAAACTGTATGCCACTAGGTTTCCCCAAGAGAAATCATTGTGCCCGTCATAATATATCAAAAAGACTTCCTTGTGCTTACCGAATAACACAACCAATAAGGATTGTGTTGTGCCATTTGTGGACATGAAAAAGCCTGAGCATCATAGGCTGGGAAAAAGGCGTCTCATCGTCTTGGAGAGTCTGAGAATTCACCGCCGCAATATTAGGTATAGCACATAATTTTCATAACTCTTCTGGAAATGCTGCCTGAGCACTCAGAGACCTCGAAAATCCAGTGGGTAAATTTGCGTATTAAGTAGTGACCGTCCATTTTTGGCAACTTTCACAGTTGGCTGAACTCAGCCATAATTTGCGTATAGATGGGCTTATGATGAGGCTGGATCGACAACCTCTTCCCTTCCACACGTACTGGTCTCTGATGAGAAGACACGGTCAAACACAACGGAAGTGCATGTGGTCATAGGGAATGACAGAGATAGGTGGGCCGTACCGACGATAGCAAGTTGTCGACACACATGATCCTCTACCTTTATTAGCCTATAAGCACGCCTGTAGCGTATTGTAACACATTGTAGACAATGCGTCTTACATTGCTTGATCGATCTCATGCAATGTCGGCCAAAATTCTGGAATAAGTTTCCGATTAGGAACGATTATTTAAGTGTGGTTCTTATACTGGCTATCATGCAGCATAGCCCTATAACATTTCGGACTCGTCAGGATGTCGGCTTTGGAATGCACTTCTTTTTGGTCTCCTGCAGAAACCACACTCGGTAAACAATGACTACCTAATTGGCATGCCCGTCTCCTATTGATTTTCGATGGTCTTATAAACTCAAATATATTTTATGGAAATTATGCACAAAAATATGTTTCCTTTTGCTCATTTGGTGGGAAATCACATTGTCTTCATTTGTTATGCCCGAAGAAAGTGTATATTTCGGTTTAAAAATCTTTTCAAATTCCCGAATAATTTCTAGCCTAATCTAACATTGCATCAGCCTTTAGCAATTTCAGTCTACAAGGTGCATGCATTTCACGTATGAAAATCATATATTCCTCCATGCCTTTAAGAAGATACCACATAGATTTCAGGAAATTTTGCAATCGATCCGGACTGCATTGCACATTTCATGAGGAGCGTTAGTAAACGGACATGCGCGGTCTAGCATGCATGGACATCACACGGTCTTAAAAATCTCATAATTAGAAACTTTTTAAAACCAAAATATACACTTTCTTCGGGCATAACATATGAAAGCAATGTGATTTCCTACCAAATTAGTAAAAGGAAGCATATTTTTGTGCATGGTGTCTGTAAAATATATTTGAATTTATAAGATCATCGAAAATCAGTAGGAAAATTTCATGCCACTTAAGTGGTCATAGTTTGCCGAATGCTGTTTCTGCAGGAGGCCACAAAGAAGTGCATTCCAAAGCCGACATCCTGGCAAGTTCGAAATGTTATAGGGTTGTGCTGCATAATAATCAATATAACAACCCCATTTAGGTAATCCTCCCTAATCAGAAACGCATTCCTGAATTTGGGCCAGCATTTCATTAGATCGGTCAAACATTGCACTTTTTTGTTGGACAAGCGCACTCTTTCAAATCATGTAGTATACGGGGACATCATGATAGCACCCTGGAATACACACGCAACCCTCTGAATATCTAGAAGATTCGCATTCCCTGGTGTTTTCTCTTGATACTGTCAATGTATAGGCAAACGTTCTAGTATAACCGGACTGGATTCCATTTCATACTAAAATATTTAAGCCACACGGTTAGTTCTTGGAAAAGGTAGTCATCTCTGTGTTAGTATTTTTTAATTTATAAACCAAACTCTGTATTCTTTAAAAACGACCTTTTGACTGCCATAAAACTCTGAGGGACACAGCATGGACGGACGTTGTGTGGAGGGATCTCATTGCGAAACTCACAACGTTTCATAAGTATGTACAACCACTGTAATTCAGAATCCCACATTTAATTAGCTGGTGTGATGATATTAACCTTTAGATAACGCATCTGCTCCGAGGTCACAATAGCCATTCAAAATGAAACTTGCAGATGAATAACGGAAACCTCGTGGTTTTTATTGACTTTTTCTAGAAATCCGACAGCAAAATTGCTTCAACCGTCTTCGGCGCATAGTATATACGAAGTCAAGAAGACCGGAAATGGACGTGGACGCCGTGAATGAAGGAGATGAGCAGCGCGTACATAAAAGTACAGGCTGCCCACATATGCGCCACCCCACACCCGCCTTGTACATGTACACACCTGAATGAAACTATGGCCTTAAGTAAAACGTAGATAAAAATTGGCGGAATTATTCCTAGCAGACACAATGGAACGCTTCCTCAGATTTGGAATTCTATTTGAAACAGGATTCGTAATTTTTTCGATCTCCATAAGCGTCAGGAACGTTTATTTGCAGCCTTAAACGGTCGATCGTACCCTCAAAACGCTGAGGTATAATGATAACACACGGGTTGCCTCTCCATTGACTCGCATCTTAACCCCCACGCGCTTGTAGCGTGCGAGAATAGGTGGTAGAGCTAAAGCCCAGCCTTTCTATCCAACAACCGAGTCATTTTCAAGTCGTTATTATGATAGGACTTTTTACGGAAATTAAAAAGCCGCAATTTCTGATTTTGAGTAACTAAAAGAAAGCAGACATGGAATGCTGGAGTACCCACTAACGGGCCGAACCCCTCACAGCTGTGTCATGCATCGGCAGAATATCAGCGAAACACGTGTATATGGGCTTTTGGCTAGTACCAGTGATTTTAGTATGGGATCCCCTTAACCTACGAGAATTAAACTTTGACGATTGAAACGCAAGTAGTGTTTAAGTTTATTCTTGGTTGTGACCATTCGGTCGGATCTCGTTTCGTAACCGTACTTACAGTAGACATGTATCAGCCTAATCCCTAACCCTAACCCCAACCCCTAACCTTAATCCCTAACCCCTCGTCCTCACCCCTAACCCTAACACTTAGAAACTAACCCTAATCCCTACCAGGTACGTCTACGAAATGAGATCTTGCCGCGAGATTCAATGAGAAATCAACATACTATTGCTCACCAAGTAACTAGGGATTACGCATTAGGTTAATAAATGTTGCCGCCAGTTAAAACCTCCTGTTCCCCTTTGAGAACACGTCGAAAAGTCAAGAAATAGTTAATGAGTGTCCACGCCAACATAGAATTTCGTCACTTTAATCTCCCTCTGATGAGTCTAAGAAAATGTCTCTGGGAACGTACTGAGTGGTGTTTCTTTCGCTGGGACCATTGCGTTACCCCCAATTGCAAAATGGTATATTAACGAGACGAAATGCATTGCTTGGACGGTTTTACCACTTTTGGGAAACGCCCAACTCCAAAAATGGGGTATTTACTCGGATGCATTACGCTGTTGTAGTCAAATACGTGTCCGGCATTTTTGAGTCCCTATCGCAGCAGTTATTAAAACAAACTGAGAAGCCTGCTATTTTGCCAGTTAGGCGTACTTCACAATATTGACCAAGCTCCAACCATGAAGATAACTCCTTGGCATAATCCCTTAGCCTGCATCCAGATCAGTTCAACTATCCTACTTTTCCTCGCTTTTCCAGATTACGAAGCTGAGGCCCACCATCTACAGCTGCTCAGCTTTGACGATCCTGAAAATTGTCTGCAAGAGTTTAGGGTTTTTCATCTCCGCAAAACGATGAAGTTTGCCATTTTTTATGCCACCCAGCGGACTGATGAGGAAGTGACCGAGAATGACGTCCAAATGTTCGTCCACGCCGTCGAAGGCTGCAGTCTGCGAGAAGACGTACGTAATCAGGCTCTCATGAAGGCTCTAATTGAGGCTGAAAATCTTGCCCTACTCCCATACAGTTTCACCGTACTCATCGGACCAGCACTGCCTGCAGATTGCAACTTTGTTTCCGACTGGATCAGACAGGGCGATGTTGCAGACCTCATTGGTCTCTACCAAATTCAATATAACTGTCGTATGAATAGGTTGGTTCAACCCTCCGTGCAAGTAAACATTTCGAATCCGGAGGAAAAATCGGCAAGAGACATGGTGGCCCTCTCGATGACTATCCAGATTTCCACATTGGTATCATCCTTAAATGTGCTTCTGCGACACTACGGTTGGCAGAGAATTGCAATCTTCTATGAAATAAGTCTGGAAATCCTGCAGAATATACCACTGGCGGAACGTTTTCGGGGCTTATTTTCCTACTTGTCAGCGGCTACGGAAACCCTGAACATTGTGGCCTTTCGAAGCCTTCGTTGGGGTTCGCAGCCAAGTTGGTATCTGCAAAATTCCACCAAACCCGTTGATGGTGAGTAAAGTTTGGTTCCCTAAATTAACAAAAGGTCATCGTGACAACACCGCCTGAAGTTTACCGCAATTCCCGTCAAGTATTCTAGCAGAATTAGGTTTTCTTTACTAATCTTGTCCCTAATTAGAATGCATATATGTGACTAAACGTTTACATCAAACCAGGCAACAGTCACATTTTATTTAACATGTGGGAATTAACTACAAGACATAATTTTTTCAAAAAATTGAAAAGGAATCTTTTTACGGAGAGGCTGATCGTCTGTTGAGCCCTTGTTGTAGAATCTTCTCTTACGTGTGATACAGTTATCTGTGTGTTAGGGTTATCTGTTAGTTTGTGGGCAAACGCCTTCTGACCATAAAGCTTTTAACTTGAATCGATCGTCCGCAGGTCAACAGAGCTCAGTTCTGATGCCACTGAAAAAGCTCCAGGCTGTACAAGAGAAAGTTATTGGCGAAATGTTTTAAAAATTAGACTTCAAGAAGATTCCTCAAATCACGGCTGATTTGGTGAACTTTAATTACTTTCGCCGGTCGAACATGCACTCATGATTACGGAATTTCTTAGTTGCCCGGAGGACATAATAAAATCTGGGAATTGCCGTCATGCGTAGCTCCTGGACGTGTCTGTTTTCCACTACGATTAAATAGAAAGACGATCTAATAAAATACGAGTTACTGAAAGACACCTGTGTACATTTCCCAGTGATACAAGGAGGATACGCAAAAAGGAGGAATGGAAAAAAGCATGTAGGTACTGACGCAACAGTGCTCGGAGATTTGCTTGTTTTGTTTAGAAGAAAACAGTGTGCTCCACGAAGTACGCTGTTGAATAACTGATCGTCAGCTCTAACCTTAACGTTGTGCATTTTGGAAGGTCTTGAAGCCTATCACGGTGTCCGGTAAGATGTGGTTATGTAGCCCCACCTGATGGACATAATGCTGTTGAGGTTATGGCTAGGGATTAGGGTTAGGTTTGGGGATTAGAGTTAGGGGTTAGGACCACTATCTCTAAACCACTCAAAGTACAACCGCGCATTACCATGGGGCTCCGTGACGAGTCGTCAAAACGCAAGTGTACACAGTAAATGAATGAGATTTAAGCGCAAGATTGTTGTCAGACTAAAAAATCACAAAATCTGCTGACGAATTTTCAAATTCGGACGAATATGCGGTAGTGACTGTAATATTAAAAGGAGAAAACTATCAGATCTAGACGGGAAATATTAGATTGAGCCATGATATTGCGGCACACATGCATCAACTTGCAAGCAATTAAAAACTTACCTTCATAACCGAACAAAGATAAGATGAATCGCCATTGTCACTAACTAACTAGTTAATTCATCCCTAGTAAATGCATGTGCTAACAAAACCCTTATCCCAGAACATAATCTACTCTGTTTTTTCTGGATCTGCCGATGTTGATGATACTGGGTGTCGACGGAGTAGGGAGGCTGTTAGCCAGAATTCCATCGCCGGGTTCAGCAGATTTTGACTATTTGTAGGTTGTGAACCGGCGTAACCAGTTGGTCGGTTGTCCCAGTTTTCATCTATGGAGTTCTTTAAATTCCACCTTTTGAGGTCAGGCCAAGTTAACTTACTCAGTAGGCAATAACGTTGTACAATCAAATGGTCGTAATAACTGGGGCAACTTATAGAACTACGATTGTTTACAAAGGCCTATCGTTTGCATGTGAGCAATACACTTGAAGTGACTTTGAATGGACAAGGCTTTCGAATCAAAACGTCCCAAGCGATTTTCAGTCTTCTGGTTCTTCATGGGTACAGTCCGTCCTTACATCACACCCGTGAGGCCAATTTTCGTCCGCGGTCTCTAATGCGCTATGCTTTTGCACAATTCAAACGCTAAAGTTCGAATGCTGCTCAAAACATGTATTTTTGCTACACAATAAAGATGTGGGCAGGCGTTTCTTTGGGTTACATACTACTCTGTGTGAACGCAGACTCAGTTGGGATCAAGATGTCTGAGAAGGATACGTTCTTCGAGCCGCCATTGCATCTCCATTTTGAGTGAAAGCGACCTAGAGCTTACGTGCTCTTTTGTAGTTATCTGAGAATTAGATCGAATTTCAGGGTCAATGTCATAGATCGCTCCGATCAAATGAGCTAAATAATTGTTTGCAGTGAAGCCATGCTTATCTGTGTGCGAACTGTCGTAAGGAATCGTCAGACCAAACTCTAAAGCCCCGACGGCCGGATGGTAGTTGGTAGCCCTGCCCACTGATTCTACAATTGTACCTACTGGCTCGATTTCGGTATCTGTGATAACGTTCTCATTATGTCTGGGGGGTGCACGCACAGAGGCCCTGTCAGGATGACTTTCTTCTTCACTTTAACCGCCCCGAGAACGAGGCGCTGCAAGACTGTCTATATAGACTCATTGTATTGCACCGCCACACGGAAATCTTTAGTAAAAGGCGAAAGATTTATCCTAAACGGATTATGATTCATCATGCTTCCATTATGCTTCTAGTTGCATGTGCGCATAGTATTACCTGCATCAGATTAATTGCATAGGCACTATCCTAGGCGGATTGGCGCGGGTCTCCGTTTCGTCGGTTTGCCTGCATCCTTGGGTCTTTTTACTACAGACCTCCAGTAGAGTCCGGTGCGATCGTGTACGAAAGGACAACCGACGCTCAGTTAGGGTGTCTACCGATACTCTATCCACTGCATCAGTCGTATTGACAGAGTGTTGCCCTCCACCCCACGCCTTTACGAACAGCCCGGGTGTATTTGGTCGCAGGAGTTTGGCTGAAAATTGTGACGCCTTGTAAACACCGCCATGGCCAGTTAGCGATCTTTTCCTGCACTTCCAGTTTAAGGCACTACGGCACTCCCCCCCGGGCGCTTCGACATTGCTGGGTTTGAACTAGGCGCACTTCACCCAACACATCGCGCACATACTACCTCTTGGGTTCAGACTACAACAGCAAGGCGTCTCATATGTCAGTCAGACCCGAAGTGTTCACCTTCCTCGCATTTTTCACCTTATTTAAATTAGGTTTTACACTTTATCAGGACCGCCAATTCCAGGCATTCCCTACAAGCGCCATTTACGCCTCCACTCATTTGCCCCACCCGTATAGCCCCTATTACCACCGGTCCCGTAAGTCAGGTAGCTGGGAATTTTCGGTACCGGGAGGGCTACCAACTACCATCTAACCGCCCCGACTCACAAAACTGTATCCTCAATGGGTAGTAGAGAAATTTCACAGGACATTCTCGACTGTGTTTGTAAATAGAGATTTCCCTGGTGCACGCTCGATTTAGTAGCTCTTAACTCACAACTGAGGCAAAAGTTTAAATTAAAACCACTACTTAAATAACATAAAGAGATTACTTTTCCTAGTCATAAAATATACGCAACATTTTGTAAAATACGGAGCAGGGAAGGGGGTTTTATTTTCAAAACGCTCTCCAGATACTAAGTGCCTTTTAGTGCATAGTTTTTATTTGATGATTTCATTTCAACCACAATTTAATGCTTTATGTTAGGGCGTCAGCCACTTTCGAAATCGGCAAATTTAAGGCAATTTGCTCACGCCCTTCCCAAGCTTTTCCTCCTGGTTTTTATGGACAACGTGAACACAGTGGAAGGCTTTAAAATGTGCATTAAAATTTAGTCTTCCATTAAAATAGCTTACTTGAGCGCCTGGTATTCAGGTTAGAGTAGTTGAAACAACGTAGGCGTGATGGAGGGCGTTTGTAAATCTGGAGTACTTGATGGGACGCTATAGTTACTAACACCTTCCATCCAGTCACAAAATCCGTACACTGTGACTATCGCTGACTCCGAAGCAGTATCGAAGTAAATAAAATAATGGCGCAAACAGATCTGTCATGTGTTTGCTGCCGAAAAGTCTAAGCCGCAAATTCCCCGGCCAAAAGATACCGCTTGCCACTTCTCCGTTAATGACAACCCAGTGACTTTAACATGAAGAAACACTACTCCACCTTTTGGACACGTGTTATAGCTACTTTCGGCAAAAACCACTGATTGTCCACTTCAGGGAAGTAAAATATTTAAATGTAAACGCATCAACTACAGTTGTATTTGGGAGAGAGTTATTGGAACGAGGGCATACTTAAGGTTTATTTGATGCATTTTAATGCACGAAAAACATGATTTCCTCATCTTTCCCTTTTATAGCCATTTTACTGATAGCCAGGCCACCTATGGCCGCTTTCTTCCTCTCTGCTGTCTCAAATATGGCACCAATTCTAGAGGGTCGCATCGCTATCATTCAACTCGACCCCTCCAGTGCTATAACCTACGATGTCCTACGCTTTTGGAGATTGGTGCTCTCAAATTCGTCTGTCCTCGGAGCTGCCTGTCAGAGTCTTATCATTATGAGTGCCCTACCCGCCGGCGCTGGGTACGATGTCTCGTCAGGCATTTTAGATTCTGTAAGTGCCAGTGCAAATCGAGTGAGACAAGTTGACGGCTGCTTCATACGTTAGATCGGTGTCCGGTAGAGTCAACAGGGTTTCTACCTTCAAACTACCTCACTGACTCGAACTAGCCAAGAGGAATAACCTATGATCGAATTATTTTCCACGCTTTTATTCGTACAGTTTATAGGTCGCTCTCAGGTTGGATGAACGCATGAAGACAGATAATTGGTGACAAAGGCCAAAAACTCAGAAAATCAAACCAGTACTTCTCCGTTTTCATTTAACTCTCCGCCTATATTTTCAACGTGGATAACGGCTTTCGTATCTGTTTAATCTACTTTCACCCTACCCTTATCTATATCGATTTGAGGTCATTGATAGTATCAGCTTGCCCGACACATTGGTCAACGACTGTGGCCAATTGAGCTAAGTGCAACGAATCCTCCCCGGACGTCCGACGTTGACGATTCCCCCACCGTCTTATGGCCACCGGAAGTTCGTAAATCCGTCAGAAAAGTGCTACAGCAAAAGCAAAACGGTTTCAAGTTTTAATGGTGGTGCATTTTAAGGTTGAGGTATTCACGTTACCATGTAGCATCGGGTAGATAAGGCGTTATAAAGGACTAAATTCCTCAGAAATCTTGAGCGGAGGATGGAGAAACAAGGAATTTTAGATAACACAGCGCTCGATTGTAGGTTAGTCTTTTCATAGAAGTATATTGAATTTAAACTGCTGCTTAACTGTATGCATCAATATATATTTTATAGCTCAACTAAGCATTTGTTATTTCGCAGAAGATAATGGTTTCAGCTGCATCAGCAGTCGCAATGGCAATCAGACTTACCTACCTGAACTTGAGGGCAAACGGCGGAGTTCTGCCGAAAGATGCGGATTTCTTCCAACCCTTGATGGATGAACCCGTGGATGTCCCGGTGTTGCCCAACATTACCTACAGATTCTCAAGGGAAGCCGACAACTTTTACGACTACTATGACTTCTACTTCTTTAGTCTGAGTCAGAAGATTTGCGATGGGAGTGCGAATTCCTCTCAAACGCCTTATGATGAGATTTTCGAACTCACCTCTGTCATTTTGTGGCCTTTGACGCAACTGGTCGAGGTGCAACCAAAGATTTGGCCAAACGGAAGTGATGGACCAAAACGAAATTACTGCCTTCTGACAGGATGTCATCGCTGTATGTATTCGGTTTCTTTCCTCCAGTGTTGAATCAAAGTACATAATGTGTGTGTGTCCCCCACACGGGCCGCGTGTTAAATGCGCTGGACCAACACGGGGGCAACATCGGACACTGGCAGGCGTTATCTTTGAGCAAAAACAAATGCCAACATTCACGGGGTGCTGATAGAAGCGAACAGGCGAGTCCCAGGTAGCAGTTCAGAAGATGAAGATGCGATCACTGGGACAAGAAGTTTATTTGCCTGACGTTTCGGATTCTCACTCGAATCCATCATCAGAGACATTCGCAGATAGAGGTGAAGGTGGCACCAGGAGTGCAGTATTTATAGCACGTGGCTGCCGTGGGACCGTATGCGCACTGCAATTAACAGTTCTCACAATCGCCGCTGGGGTCGTAATTGATGCGGCGGTGGCTTGGCGGTCCGAGTCCGAGTTGTTAATTGCCGCGATTTCGTCATCCGTGCTCGATGCTGGTGTGACGATTGCTCGGCAAACTGGCTCACTGTCACCGTGATAATTGCTCACCCGCGCCCTCCCCACGTGACTGATTCTCCTGCCCAGGGAAAATCGCAATACGGAATAGGCCACCGGGAGGTCATTGTGTTTGTTGATGGATTGCGGGCCTGAGAACCATGACTCGAGCAGCTCGCGGCTCACGCGGTTGTCACCCCTTGCGAGGATTTCGGCCTCTTGAAATTTGATAATATGGCCGGGTCCCGTCGAGTGTGCCGCCACCTGAGTGTTAGCGTCTCCCCGCCTCACTGCCGCTGCGTGCTCGGCAAGTCGCGTACGGAGTAATCTCCCAGTTTCTCCGACATAATTGCTTTGTCCGCAACTACACCAGATCCGGTAAACGACTCCAGATGTTTCCTGCCGTGGCAGCGGGTCTTTTGGCCTCATGACTTGGCGCCTAATGGTTGCTTCCGGCCTGTGTGCAACCCCAACTCCAAGTGGAGTGAGAAGACGACTGACGGCTTCCGAGACGTTCTTCACGTACGGAAGAGCCCCCCAAAATTTGGGGCTAGTTGGATTTGGTCTCTGGTGTCCTTTTCGTATGCACTGGTTGACAAAGTTGCGCGGGTAGCCATTGGCTCTCATTACCCGTCGAAGATATTTTAATTTAGCAACCTTGTCTTCCATTTCAGTGCAGTGCGTCTCAACACCCCGGTATAGCGCCCTTACGCAACTGCGTTTGTGACTGATCGGGTGGTTGCTATTGAAGTTCAGTATTTGCGTCGTATTTGTCGCTTTCCTGAACACTTTGGTTTTTAGGCCACCACAATCTTTGCGGCAGACGAGGACATCCAGGAAGGCCAGCTGATTGTTTTCCTCCTCCTCCATCGTAAATTGAATGTCCGGGAAGACGGCGTTGAATTGTCCTTTGAAAGTCAGCACCTGATCCCGTTCGATGACGACGAAGGTGTCATCCACATACCGAGCCCAGAATTTCGGTCTGTGGTGTCGGAAAACCAGCGACTCCAACCGTTGAAGGACCGCCTCGGCTATGAGTCCCGAAATCGGCAAACCCATTGGCGTTCCCTTCACCTGCTTCTAGATTGTTCCGTCGAATGTAAAGTACGTCTTGAGACAGAACTTCAGGAGCTGGATGATTTGAGCGTGTCCGAGGCGATTCTCCGTTTCGTCGTACTTCTCTCGTAGGAGTAGTTCGATTGTCTCGACTGCCAGGCCCTGCGGGATAGAAGTAAAAAGGGACGTGACATCAAAGGAAACCATGATATCGCTTGGCAGGAGACTTACTGCTTTAAGTTTCTCCAAGAATTGCGTTGACGAGCTGACTGTGGTGTTCGAATCGGAGGTCAGAAACTTGAGACGTTGGAACAGCCACTTTTCCTGTCCGTAGGTTGGAGTGCCCTTTAGTGATACGATAGGCCGGAGAGGAGCGCCCTCTTTGTGCACTTTTGGGAGACCGTAGAATCGGGCTAGGGCCATTTCTTGTGCTCTCGCCACGCGTCGGTCGATTGGCGATATTGCACCTGAGTTCTCCATTGCCAACAGCGTCGCGTTAATCTCGCGTGTCAGCGTTTTCATGGGGTTGGATTCGCATGGGACATAGGACTGACGATCCTCCAACAAGCTTTTGGCTTTTTGATTGTAGTCTGTCCTGTCCAATACGACCGTTGAACGCCCCTTGTCCGCAGGCACGATAACGAGGTCGTTGTCGGCCCTGAGTTCCTTAAGTGCATCGCGCTCGACATTGGAAAGCACATCGCGCGGCCTATGAGCCATGAGGAGGGAGGACACGGGGTGCGTTGGCAGACCCTGTTGTCGGCAGTCGTCGCACGGCTGGGACCACTGCCACCACCCCATTGTTTTGGCGGTCAAAATCCTGGTCATTTGTTGTGTGCACCAGGGGGTGCGGAATGGAACGCCAAGGTGAAGATCCGTCCAATCCATCTACCTGCGGCCTCCCTCGTCTCCGGTCTTTTTGACTCTGTCTTGACACCGGACTCAGACGTGGGAGAAGGAGGGAATGTGGTAGATGCAGTGCAAGTCTACCGGCACTATAAACCCCTTCGCAAGTCACCGTCCCTGCTCCCACCGCTGCTGCTGCTGCTGTGGGGCATACGGTGGACATCGTGGAACACGACGGTCGAACTATTGTCTGTCTGTCACAAATCGTGTAGCTGGACATACGAACTCCGACACTTTGTGGATTATCATGACATGCTGAAGTGTTGAGCGTGAGAGACTGCCAATTTGCCAGGAAAGCCACCAATCTTCGGCATTGAGGAGTAGGCCCCCATGAAGCCAAGTGTGACTCTTATGACAACTGTCACCTTGTGATACCCGCACGTGATCGAAATTGACCAGGGTTTGGGTAGGGTAGAGCGACGCCTGCGTAAACCGCGGGTTTGGCGCCGCAGCCAATGCCCGCGAACACGTCTTCAGTCGGACTAACGCGAACTCGCATCTGGTGTACGAGGGCCAAGGATGGAGACATGGAGGCTGATGAAGCCCTCCTTCCTTCCTTCCTATTATACATTTCGATGCGGCTGAAAAATGGCCCTCCATAAACTGTGGTACAAGCAAACAAATTTGCTGGATCCCCTTGCGGACTGCAAAACGGCAGCATTCGCTGCCTGTCGCGATCCGCGGTATTCGAGGCATGTGTCTAGGTATCACCGCGTGTTGTGTGAGTCAGTGACCGATGTCATGAAATTCCGATATTCTAAATTATGTTTTTAATTAACAAGAATCACCTAGGCGGATTTGCATCACTGACTATCGTGCGCACAGTCTCGCGATCTTTCAGACACATTAGAATGTCGACTTTTGAATGCACTTCCTTTTGCAGCCTGCCAAGATCATACTACTTAAGTAGCGAGCATTTTTAGTTGACCTTTAATGTCCTTATATATTCTAATCTTTCATTTTGCCTCTGAGTGATCATTTCGGTGGCTTCAGTGGAGTGGTACACACGCCACAAATCAATAGAAAAAAAATGCATGCTAATGAAGTAGTCGTTTATTTACCGAGTCTGGTTTTTGCTGGCAACTGATAAAAAATACCTTCAAAAGCCGACATCCTAGCGTGCTTGAAAGGTCATGGGATTATGCCACACGATAATCAGTAGTTCAACCCCACCAAAGTAATCCTCCCTAGTAATAAACGCGTTTCGGAATTCCGGCCAACATTTCATGAGGTTGGTAACTGATTGTGTACGCGGTTTCGACCAGTTGGTCATATCTTGCAGTTAGAAGGTTGTGCCTTGGAGGAAATAAGCTAGCTTACACGAACATCTCCCTATCGGTGTTAACCTCAAGCGCAAGTCAACACTGCATTCTCAAAGCATTGGAAAGCATCATTGGTGACGGATGACGAACTGCAACAACGAGAAATCATCAAAAACGTACGTTTGTTCAACAAATTGATTTCCGCAATGTCTTCTAGTGGCGCTTGCCGAAGGACAATACTTAACCTCTTACAAAACTTGGCCGGTGACATCATTATGAATCATTCAAATAGGCGAATTTTTTTAGAACTGCCTGTCTGAGAAATCTCCGAAGCAGGGCCAACCTACCATAGAGTCTTCTGGAGTGTTATTTGATGTCTAAGGTTATGGCAACGTCAGTAAGTAATGCCGTTTACCTAAATCCATATCCAAGGGTTTTTATCTACCTTCAGAAATGTTGGTTTAAGCTGGACATGGTATCAGGTTAAAAATAAAAGGCCGGCCTGAAGGGTGCTGTAAAGAATTTTAGAAAACTGTCGAGGCAGATCTTACCCAAACGTTCAGTGAACTAGCCGCACAAAGACGCGTTGATTGGACCTGTTTGATTTGTCGAATGGGGACAGTCCGAATGCATTCGCCAGCACAATTTTCACCAGAAACCACATTTCTGACATAGCTGGTTTTTTTCACTCAAGAACACAGCTAGCGATACAAACATACTTTGGGTAAATTCCTCGTTCTTCCCCTTAGGTAATAAAAATCACAACGGGATAATTTGTGCAGAGATTAGACTTTCTATCTTCAACAAATGCCGCGTCGAATATATCGTATGTAGTCCAACCTAATCGGTGGTGTGAAGCTTGACTACTTAATTTGTTTTGGTAGGCACGTCCCGGTAACGTTAGCGTTATTGTGCCCGTGACTGGGAGTAATTAATTTTCAGTACACGCATCTAAGCCTGGGATAAGGGCTTAGGATTTTAAAGCTAGGATTAATGCTAAGGTCTGAGGGTTTGAAATAAGTTCAGGGTTTCAGTGTTGCGACTTGAGGTTTAAGGTAGGGTGTGAGGTTTTAATTTCAGTGTTTATGCTTGTTCGTGGGGTTTGGGCTAGTGTTAGGTTTTCAGACCTAGGCTTTCAGGACTAAGGTTAGAGAATGAATCTCGGGTTTAAGGCTGGGGGTTAGTATTGGCGTTAGGGTTTTAGGATCAGGGCCTTAAGTTCAGGGTTGGAGTTAGGGTTTAAAGACCAGTGTTAGGGCTAGTGTTTTAGGAACAGAAATTTAAGGTTAGGGATTTTCAGTTAGGATAATAGTTAAGGTTTGATGGTCAGGACTAGGGCATTAGGATTATGCTTATAAGTTGAAGTTTGTGGTTAGAGTTTTACAGTTGGGGCTAGTTTTATGATTAACGCTCTAAGGTAACGGTTAGGATTAGATTTTTAAGGCAATTTTAAGAATAAAGGTTGGAGATAGGATCAGGGCGTCAAGGTTTGGATTAAAGGCTAGGGCTAAGGTGAGAGTTCAAAGATTAGCATAATGGGTCCTACACTGATTTCTAAGACACAAATGCCAGTAGTACCATGTGTCGCGGGGTCCACCGTTGTCAGCCTTCAAAGACGGGCATATCGAATAACATGCTGACTGATTACTTGCATTAAGTGTCTTTTTAATGATAATATTTTTGCTTTTCGTTAGCTTTCTTCTTTGTATATGGCTTTTTATGTGTACTGATTCTGTTTCCTTTACAATAGGCATACTTTTCTCTCATAGAACTGTTTATCTTTTTGGATTGATTTCGGTTTGCCAACTGCCTAAGATTAGGCGACTCAGCCAATTTCGCATTTTTCAGGTGTTTTTAAGTCGCGCGCTCGATTTTCACCAAACGTTGGCTAACTAAAACAGGACAATAACGTAAATAAAACAGCATTTCTTTCTCAGGAAGTACTCTGTCCACCGCGTCTTTTAGTCGAACTCATGAAACCCCTATTAGCCCTATTTCCTTATAAGCGGTGTCTTTGCTTCCCGTTTTGTGAATGAGGCTGCGTAAGATACCCTTGAAAACGCCGCATCTTCTTCCATTACACTTTGTGAAGTTTAGCAATGTGTGAACAGATGTAATTGCTTCTACTAGTTGTACCACCTGCTCAATAGTATAGCCCGTTGTTGGCACTGCAGCCGTTATACTTAACACCACAGGAACAAGAGTTAATAATACTTGTAATAGTCAAAATGACATAACTACCGAAGTGAGTAGAAAGCGCTTTGAAAAAACTCACCAACATCAGTAACGCCTCGACCACTTCCTCCTTCTTTCCTGTTGTTATGACAAATTCAAGCACTGTATCAGGGGTCATTGTTTATGTAGAGATTTGTGTCACTCATTACGTCGCTGTCGAACTGAAAATAGTTTAGTCAAATGTCAGCTGATTCACCCATTATTTAATTAAATGCGGATTATGGCCGATTGGTGAGCAAACCGGAATTGATTAAGCGAACGCTTATCTCGAAATCAGCTGCACAGGCCTAGCTAACGATTCAGCCCGGCTTGTTAAAATAAGTGGGAATTCCTCTTTCGAACGAGCCCCAACAAATAAAACATTAATAGGCTAAGCAGATTTTGGGGAATTTTAAAATGCTTTGATTTTTTCCATTGCTTCCCCTGAATGGTCAATTTTTAATCCACGAAGCCAATATCTCAACACTGATCATTTTGATGACGGTCCAAATTTCGTGTACAATGGTTTTGGCAATCGCAGTTGGACACTTCTTCAGGTTAGTGGGCCATCTCATCGATGAATAAATTACTGTTTAAAAACTTAACTAGCATCTGATAGAAGATTTATTATCTAAAGGCATCATCAAAGAACTATAAAACTACGAAAAGACAACAACAAGCTCATTTTGTATCCGGATGACGTTTGTGTGGTTAAATCGACTCCGAAACGGAAATCATCGGTACGTTTGTTTCCAGTGGCGATGAAATTCTTGCTTTTATTACCCAAGAACAACTGCTTCATGAATGATGTCTGCCAATATCACTTTGTAAATCTGAAGAGAATACTCATATTTAGGCGGTTCCATCATAATTAACAATGAAGGCATGGAGACGGAGTTTAAATGATACTCTGTTTTGAACGATCAGAATATTGATGATCAGTGGCAAAAGGTACGATTCCGCAGTGAATACGCAGCCTGCCGCAAAACGACAGAGCTAGCAATGCAGAATTCCCAGTTTGATACTTTTTGTGAAATCTTCTTGCCCGGAAGCGCGGTCCTGCTGGTAAAAGGAAAAGTCCAGGTGCGAACGACCAACACGGGAACCGTGAGTACAGAGGTTTTACTGGTGGTGCTAGGGGGAGGCACGGAAGAATGAATGTGCTAGTTTTATTTTAATGGATACTAAAATCTCAGCGTATGCAGCATGAAGTACGAAAAATTCCGTCTGCGCGCAAACATTGAGCTACTCTAGTTAGCGGCTAATTCCTGGGGAAATTAAAGAGCAACGATTCCTAAACTGGAGTATCTACCAAAAAGCACACGGGGATGCTGGAGGACCTACTGAAGAGTCGAAACCCTCGCCCAAATATTCATACATCGGACGGAACCCATAGGCGAAACTTGTAGGATGGCGGAT